ATATGCATATATTGGATTCATTCTATCTATTATAGTTTTCGAGTAAATCAATGAAATGTGAAAACACTGCTTTTCGAACGTTCTAATTTCAATTTTTCAACTTTGAACGCGTATTACAGCAATATGGATAAGAGCACAGGAATGTATCTATACTTTAGCAGATATTTGGAAAATTGCTCACTGCTACCAGGGAAGGCCGCTTTTTCGAACGTTTTAATATGGATAGAGCACAGGAATGTATCTATACTTTAGCAGATATTTGGAAAATTGCTCACTGCTACTAATATTCGCGCCTCCCCTTAGACTAGGCAAGCGTCCCCAGTTTGCAAAGTTTAGAAAACGCTATACTTTAGCAGATATTTGGAAAATTGCTCACTGCTACTAATATTCGNAGATTTGGAAAACGCTGCTGNATNNANATNTGTTGAAAAGGAAGGTCTATACTTTAGCAGATATTTGGAAAATTGCTCACTGCTACTAATATTCGCGCCTTCCCTTCGACTAGTCCACGCCTCCCGCCTCACAGTTGCACTGTAATATCCATTATTTATATACTTGTAAATATTTAAAACTCTCATCTACTTAATTTAGAAGATTTAATAGTCTACTACAGATGATAATAAATATTCAAGTTTAGATAATTAACACAAGCACAATGCTTATAATTATATAATTATGAAATATCATTATGATAGTGCTTTCACGCTGACTTGCATTGTTTTTTTTTGGATTTGATAAGTGGTACTGTCAAGTATACAGCGATGAAATAATCAATTGAATTTTTCGAAATTGAGAAGCATAAACTGAACAGAGGTTGAAAACGTATTGTGGTGATCCATGTTGAATAGTTTCCATGAGGTGATTAAATTTTGCATGGAAGCTGAAGATTCAATCGTTAACTAATCTGCACACAATATATTAATCATGTTGATTTATACTCAAACAATCGATGCAAAGTTTACATTGTACGAGTCAAACAATGTGATACAAGAAGCATTGAAATGAAGCACAGACATCGACGTATGTGAAATGATGACCAACGCGGAGAAAACCATACAAGATTTAATTGAAGATTTCGAGATAATAAACGACTTGTGCGTTTTCAATGGGAATTAGCTTAATAATGAAGATAAAGGAATAAAGTAAGTGTGGATGCGATGCGATGCGAAAATATGTAGGGCGAAGTGGAATTTCATCATAGGACGCAATTGAGTTTTCCGAGGCGCCTGGGGATACACACGCGGGGTTGATTAAATTACTCGAACGGTATTTCCTGAAATTTCATTACGTCTCTTTCACGTCTCAGGTAGAGAGCGAATGCACAAACCTAGATTCCTCACGAAATGCGGTATTCCCTCAGTATTTTCAATTAATTATATATATATAACATCCCCCAAGTTATTCTATATTAATTTAACTTTACAATTGACTTCTTGCTCAAAAATTGAAAAAAAAGCTATACATCACAAATATTATTATTGAATCCAATTGGAAATATAAAAAAAAGTCCTATTAATTAATTGAATTCCATCGATGCAAAAATATTTCGCTTTTAATTTAACGAAAACAAAACATTTTCTGTTGATTAATCCAATTAAAATCCATTGGATGCAAGCCTATTTAAATTAAATTAACCATCGACTCTGCAGGAATAATATTGATATTGCGTTGGCACTATTGATCCGTCTCCAATTTCAAATTTTTCGTTATTTTTGTCCACAAATTATTTGGAGCTGTGACCACGCAAGTAACACTGCCGTCGCCGCCGCCTTATGGTTTTTCTGCACGCAATTAAAATGCCATGTCTGATACTGATCAATACGCACACAACACATACACAGTGCTCCCCTCTGTTCGAGTAATTTGTTACTTACAATCATGTAATTTCATACCAACCCTTCGTCTTTCNNNGGAAGTTTCAATGTCGGACGACCAATGAAAACTCGGCAACATCTGTCAGAGCGGAAACTTAAGTTTCAAGCCTTCGCGTAATTCAATTTAAAATATATCTGATTCAGATTTTTCTACTTTTTAAAGGTTTCTTTACTTCGCACTGAATTAATCGGAAAACTATACATTTTATATTCCAACTATAAACTATATAAAATAGATTTCAAAAATGAAACACAACACATACACAGTGCTCCCCTCTGTTCGAGTAATTTGTTACTTACAATCATGTAATTTCATACCAACCCTTCGTCTTTCNNNAAGTTTCAAGCCTTCGCGTAATTCTATTTAAAATATATCTGATTCAGATTTTTCTACTTTTTACAGGTTTCTTTACTTCGCACTGAATAAATCGGAAAACTATACATTTTGTATTCCAACTATAAACAACTACAAGTTTTTAATTAACCAAGTAAATATAACAAAATAAATTGTGATGTGATAAATAAAATGTATCCGAAATTTCAATATATTTCTATATTAAAATAGATTTCAAAAATGAAATAATAGGATAAAATTTGATTGAAAATGGCGTCAGATTACAACAAAACAGTCTGTCAAAATTTAGAAAAAAACAAACAATATTTTATTTTTATATTGGCAATGCGTACAAAATCAAATAATGTTACAAACTTCAATCCATATCGTTTTGCGTTGATGAATTTATATCTATGTACGAACTATACGTAACAAATAAAGGACAATTTTCATTCATTGTTTCAAATTATGTTCGTTTTACCAGCATGATTATAAAGACCCCCAATAGATCTATCATTAATTACGTTGTATATGTAAACAGAGAGAAAAAAAAAGTTAATTCCCTAAAAAGTACAAGGTTTTGAGTCATAGTTATATGTTGAATAGGGGCGTTGTTATTTCGTTAATTAATCGTTATATATTAATGGATGAAAGTTATATTTAATTATAAAAATACACAATAAACCTTTTATCTCTACAATGAATTCATGATAAATTTTAATATAATATTCTTCACAAAATTAATGGTTTATTGTTGGAAAAATGAAAACAAGATCGTTATCAAATAACAACAAAATAGATGTTTACATTGAATTATTCTAATATCAGCTAATAATTATTGATTATCTAATGATGGTTAACATTCCTGCATAGACAGCTGTAATTGCATAATGTAATCCATATAGTGCAAAAGCTGCGTATATTTAAGTAATTTATGCGTTTGGAGTTAATAGAGTTGAATTTACTGCTTAAAATGGTATTATTTGTGGGGAGAAAACTTTTGCGGAACTGAGAGATTAATTGCAAAAGTTCCGGCAACGAGATTTCGGATTTTCCTCTACATTTTGATAAAGTTATCGAATCCCGTTTAACAATCAGCACAAAACTTAAAGTGAAAAACTAAGTTCAAAATTATTGTTGATATTGGATTATAGTTTTCGAGTATATCAATGAAATGTGAAAACACTGCTTTTTCGAACGTTCTAATTTCAACTTTGAACGCGTATTAGAGCAATATGGATAAGACCACAGGAATGTATCTATACTTGCTGGATTACCCAAACATTCAGCTTTCATATGCATATATTGGATTCATTCTATCTATAAAATCAGTTGATTTAAGTGCGTGGATGGGTTTTAAATAAGTAACAAAGAAAAGAAACACGTTTTAATAACAATTTAATTACTAATATTTTTTGGTTACACATGATTAAAATTTATTTTTAAACTGCAGTATTTTCTTTCAGAATTATAATTTTTTTTTTGTCCACCCAAATTTTTTAAATTTTTTTTTTTCATCTCTTCTACACTTTTATCACACACTCTCTCTCCCATCTCTTCCCCTACATAAATACGTTACGCAATGTACAACAAAATGTACAAATTAAACAAAACAAAAAAAAAACAACAACAACAACAAGGCCTACGCGTGTTTCGCTCCGATTAGTTTATACAACAAAAAAAAATATAATGTAATAATGTAAGTTTACAAATATATTTAATATCAAAATATAATTTGTATACGAACGGACGGTGCATAGTTAATAATGTTAGAAATTAGAAACAAGTTACAACAATAACAAAATAATAGATGGTCACGACGGATAAAGAAATATCATCGTTGTCGAATCGTCGCACAAGTTTGATTGGAAAAAGGCACTTCAAATAACATCAAACCATGGAAGATTAATCTTTGTAAAAAGAAAAAAAATATATATAATAATGATGGAACAACAAATTATAAATATTTATATTAATCTATGTGTGTTTGTGTATCGATCGATATAAAAAAAAATATACATATTTAGTAATAATAATAATGTGTATTATTTGATAAAATTCGAAGAAGCGTTAAAAATAATAATAGTAATAGTAGTGTAAATGTACAAATAGGAACTTCCGATTGAAGCACTTCGAGGAAAAGTAATTCAAGCGATTCAAATTCCTCAACCTTCTTCTCACATCCTCCTCCTGTTTACGTTTTTTTTGTTTTGTTTGTCTTCTCTCTAGACTGCTACGTTACAAATTAGTATTATTAAAACGTATTAAAGCTACATCATAATATCATATATGACTAGTTTCGTATAAATCGATTTACACGTCTCTTTTACACACAATATATATGATATATACGACGAGGAGACATTAAGACACAAATCTGCGTATCCGCATCTTCATCTCATCTCGACTCCCTAAAAAATATTCATATTATTTATACATATACTAATATTAATCTTATTATTATTAGTATGGCAATCACAAAATATTTCACTTGCATTAAGTGGTCCTCCAAACTTGGTCAAATTTTACATAAAATTTACGAAAAACAACGGAAAATAATAACAAACAAAAAAAAAAAAATTCTTTTGTTTCCAGTAGAAATAAATAAACAAGCGAATTCATATGTATCTATGTAAAATGCAATTGGTGAACGGATGAAACGACAATTCTTTCAATTATTTAGTAGTTAGCAGTCTTGTAGGATAAAATGAATCAAACTTTCAGTGGTAATTTATTGTGATTATTTGATCTTCGTTGCGCGCATAAATTGATTTTCGAATTGATTTTCTCACCAAATGATGAAAATAATAACTATATCAAATTGTTTCTGTTTGTTTTGTTTTTATTACATAATCAACGTTGTTCGTCAATGACTCCCGTATATTTGATACACAAGAATAAATAGCTTCTTTGCTCTGTTTAAATATATATAACGTTCGTTATATAAATGTACATATAATATATATATTATTAAAATCCTAAATTTTCATTTTGCTATAAGCACTTACATTTTGTACTATAGTTTAAGGGCAAGATATATCTTTTTTTTTTTAATATTTCAGCTACAAATATAACTCTTATATATTCTCTCTATCTTTCATTGTTTTTGTGTTTCAATTTACAAAAAAAATGAACTTTTCTGTCCCAATTAAAGTAATTAATTCTTGGTGTTCATCTTTTCTCGTCAATTCCTCGTATTGAACTATTCTCTTAAGAATACAAATTTAAAATTACAAAAAAAAAAACGAACTTTTGTAAATATACTCTTCGTTAAGATTCGTGATTTGTTCTGTGTAAAAGATGTATTAAAATTCATGGAATGTAATTAGTATCAAAGGCGTAGCGATCGCGTCTTCTTCGTCTACTCGCATTTCTTGTCGATCAGCAGAAACACGTTCATGTTATCTTTACCCTTAACGTACACGGATCCGCGCTTCTCGAAGTTGTAGCGTTCGCTGAGGATGTCCAAGCAATGCTCTCCCACCTGTATCCGTCCGTTGACGCCGGTCGAGTCCATCCTCGAGGCGACGTTCACCGCGTCCCCCCAAATATCGTAATACAGTTTAGTCCTGCCGATGACGGCCGCAGTCACGTCGCCGAAGTTGTACCCGATCCGCAGGATGAGGTTGAACTCGAGCAGATCCCTGTTGAAGTTATCTATGACGTTCTGCATGGCGATAGCGAAATCCATCAGAGCAAACAAGTGTTCGTTCTCGTCCTCCTGCTCGTCCCTCATCCGCGAATTCAATCCGCTCGCAGCCATGAACGTGCTGCCGATGGTCTTGATCTTCTCCACGCTGCGAAACTCCGGAAGCGTGAGCAACTCATCGAAATCCCCGATGAGTTCGTTCAGCACTCGCAGGAATTCCTTTCCGCCCAAGTAACTCTCGTCGTACATCTCGTTGAAGTTGACGATGCTCGCGAAGATTATCGCCACGTTGTTGAAGTTCTCCGAGTACTTGGCGTTCTTCTTCAGCTGCTCGGCGACGTGCTCAGGTACAATGTTGTATATCAGCCAGTCGGCTTGGTTCTTCAGGCTCTGCACGTGAAATCTGTCACGATTTGCGACGTAGTTCGCATGGAAGCTGATCCTGTACGCTATTTCGAATTCGCGATTCAAAACCCAGACGAGGACGAGCAGAAGGAAGAGATCCATGAGTATCTCCGAGTCGTATAAATAGTTCAATCTTTGGTGCGACTCGAGGTACACGTCGGTGGCGTTCGCGAATATCGGTGGAGGCGCTTCACCTGCTGGACAGTAACGGTACAGGATGAGACTCATGAAAACCACGCAGTAGATTGTGCCCAGTACGTTCTTCATCCAGCAGTTGAGCTGCGTGAAGTTGCAGAAATGTATGATGCCGACGAAGAGCAGATGGCTGTAGAGGTAATCGGACATCTTCAGCTTGCCGCAGATGCTCGGGCACGCAAAATTAAGGAGTATCGACACCAGCGGTAGACTAACTAATAACCCACCGAAGGTGTTCCAACGGTACCATCGTGAGATGAACGAGAAATGGTGCTCCGCAAAGTGTATCACTGTTGGGAAGCAGAGGGCAACTGCGAAGCCCTGAAGTAAAGTGAACAAGCAGAACGTCGTTATCCAAAGGGTCGATGGTTCGTAGAGGATGAACAGAGCTGTGGACACGATTGCGAAGACCACGGCCGAGACGAAGACGTCGAAGTACGTGTTGAGTTTGTTGTTGGCCAAGGTGGGTATCGTCTCGTGCTGATCGAACATCGAGTGCACGTTTGCTCGGTACTCGTGCTCCATTTTCTCGTTCTCGAAGAACAGCGATATTTGCGAGAGGGGTGGTTTTATAAAATAGGAACGTTTCGATTTCGAATTGTCTTGAACACACTTGATCAGCTGCCTATCGGATTGCTTACGTAAACTCTGGACGCATTTGCCCAAAAACGGAGCTGGAAGTCTGGAAGCGTACTGCGGGGAATTTATGCTCGATTGACTCGACGTGTAATAACCGGAAACTCTGTGCTGCAGCAGATCAGACGGTGGTATGTGCTGTTCAATCTGCAACAACGAAAATTACATCATTTTCATTCAACAATATCCATCATGAATGTCAATCTATCAAAACTGAAATATCTTGAAAGATATTGATTAAATCTTAATAATAGAATGTTACAGTCTAATAACTAGAACATATTCTTTTTTTTTTTAATAAAATCCCATTTCAATAGAATAATATCTGTCCTTAAACTCATTATAATAGACTATGAAACGGCGACCTTTCCACTTTGCTGGCCGTGGCCGTTCATCCACGAAGAAAACACAAAAGCAATAATTCAATAGTTTGATTTAAATTTTTCTAAAAGATTGTTAAGGTAAATACACAATTTGGTGATGATTCACGGTTTTTCGATAAAAGTTATCTAAACTATTTTATTTTTGTGATTAATTCGGTCTGCGAAGCGTGAGAATGAGTCGACTCATATTTTCTTCTAATAATAATTAGGTTCATCACGTTATCAAGCGGCTTGACCTTAACGATTACGATCATCATCCGCCGTTCGGTAACAGCTCTTCCGTAATTTCTTTAATTGGGCCTGCAGCTGCTCAATTGAAACGACTTTGACTACATCATGCATGTATATAATTAGAATGTTTATGATTACCTGCAGGATGCTGCTCCTTCTGCTGTTGCTCTTGATGCCGGAATCCTTGCGACTGTTGACGGATGGTCCGGTGCTGATTTGGTCGTCCACGAAGATCGTGGATAACCGGCTGGGCACTTCCAGGGAGCATTTCTTGGATCTGTTCAGTTGGCCGATGGCGACTGTGGCGCTTCTCGCACGCTCCGAGGGGACGATGTCGATGTTCGGGGATTTCTCTCTGCGCGATCTGTTGCTGCCCACGCGACTCAGGTACGTGAAATCGTTGTTGGGACGACCGTACTGACTCCTGTAGCTGCCCGCTCTTAAGAATTGCGAGAATTCGCACGGAGAGTAATCGTATTGTCCGACGTCGCTTCTCGACTGACTGATGTAGGATTTCACGTCGATCACGTCCTTTTGCTCGTCCAAATAGATGCTGTTACGTTTCTCCTCTTCATCTACAGACAAATTGATCCAATTCAACTCGTCTTTGCCATTCTCCACCGTCCCATTCTTGGACTCTATTATCGTCGGCACTTGAGTGTATCCTGTAGGATTGACCACTATAGAGCCATCGCAGTCGGACGTGCAAGGCAACTCCATCCCAATGTCCATGCTATCCTTCTGGTCACCTTTGCGCAAGAACTTCGGTATCTTCCAGTTCTTGATTTTCACCGAATACCGACCGGAGCTCGCCGTCGACGTGGGCGTCTTCACCGACTCACTTCCACCCGACTCCTTCTCCGGTTCGATCTCCTGCTCGTTTTCCGAATCCAAAATGCTTGGCAAACTGCTTGCCTTGATCTTGCACACGTCTGGAGAGAGCATGTTCGGATTGTGCAGAGGTTTGAGAAGAGATGGCGGTGTGACGCAGGAGAGGACGCGCGGGCGTGTTTGCGGCGACATCGAGGGCGGCGACGTGGGTGGAGACACTATCAGTTGCAGGGAATTGTTCTGCTGCGGCTTATCGATACCCTTCAGACTGCCGTTGTAAGACGGAGGCCTCTCGCTCTTCCTTCCCAGTATAAAAAAGGTCTTCAAACCTACAACGAAACATTACGGTTATCCCATTCGACACAACACATCAAAATAATCAAACTAAAATTACCAAATACTTGCTTTCCCTCCTCGAACAGATAGTTGTCTGGCAGGAATTTCAGAGTGTTCTCCGATATGTGAACCATTCCCGGTTTTCCCGTCGATTCCATCCGATTCGCCAATGTAACGTCGTTACTCCACACGTCGAACTTGAACCTTCTGGTTCCAACGATTCCGCACAGCACCGTTCCCGTGTGAACGCCGACGCGCATATTCACACCTTCGTTGTTCTCCAAATCGAATTGCTTTATCGCTTGAATCATACTCAAACCCATCTCCACTGAACACTTTGCATGATCCGGCCTCGGCTCCGGACAACCGGATATGCAGTAATAACAATCGCCGAGCGTTGAAATCTTCTCGCAGTTGTGTAATTTACAGAGCAAATCGAACCGCTGGAACAGATTGTTCAAGATCTCCACCAGTTCTTCAGCGGATTTCGTGCTCGACATCTTCGTGAATCCAACGATGTCGGCGAAGAGAATGCTCACATTCTCTACTCGGTTCATGTTGAAAGGTCTGAAGAGCGATTGGATATCGTTGGTTTCCGGATTCGAGTTGCGCGGTTCCATGCCGTTCCTCGTGAAGTTCTCGTCGTCGTTCAGCAGCCAATTCGCAACGGATTGCGGCATCAGGGAATGTATCATGTTCTCCTTCAGCTTCTTCTCCGCTTCCAGCTGCTTCCGCACCAGCAAACTCTGCCCGACCTTCATAAAAGTGTTCCTCATCCTAACGTTAGTCATTATTAGAATGTGCAAACCAATTAGGTGTATGCAGACGTGCGAGAGTATTCGCACGGTGATGGTTACAACGTCGTACTGTTGGTCGTGGTACATCCACGTCAGTATTTCGAAGATCACCGAGTAGAGAGTGCTCATTATGATGCAGAGGTACATTTTCATGGGTATCACAGTGTAAACGAGCAGCAGGATCTCGGTGCAAATGGAAAAGTGTCCGATTGGGCTGATCTCCGACGTGGACTTCTCCGAGTACGGCTTGAACCTCATCGGCATCAGCACGACAAAAGTGAGACTCAATATGCACAGCGTCAAAGCCATCACCCAAGATATTGTCAGCATGTAAACGTCGTAGATATCTTTGTAGGTCAATAAAAGCACGACTATGGCTAGAACGAAGAGGAGAGCCAGGACTATGCAGAGGATGGGCCAGTGCGTCGTGTCGGCTGACAATCCGGTAACGAGGAAGTACAGGAACCAGGAGAACGATATCAGCAGGATGTAGCAAAGAGCATATCTGCAATAAGTAATGAATTACGATCATTCCAAAGACGCAATTACCATCTCTAATCACCGAAATTTCTTCCTGTTGTGATTGGGAACGCTCTTGCGGAATTGGCCTTCGAGGATTTCGGAATCGAACGTTGGATCCCACCACGATTTGCTGGCCGCTCTCTCGAACGGTATGGGCAAGCATCGTCCCCAGCAACCGGACTCCTGAGAGACCCGGGCCAGGTAGATCTGAACGTCCGGACCCATCGCCAGTTGGCCATCATCGATGGTATCCGACGAGTGTTCCGGTTGGTTCAAGTTCTGCGACTGCGAGAGCGAATAACTGGTCGACGAAAGCCTCTTCTCCGACTCCATCCTTGCGACTCAAATGGTAATACTGCAGAATCAGTTTCAGTCAGATGCATGCAGTCCCTTGTGAGTACATTGCGTGACGTGTATCTCATTATTTGATTATCCATTCTGCAAAAACACAAAAGTGATATTTCAATGTTAATATCTCGTAAATCTAACAGTCATAGAATTGATATTAAAAGACAATAATAGCGCGAGTAATCTTGTCTTGCAGACAGTTGCATTATCCTAAGCAAATATTTGAGTACATTTTCGACTGACCATCATTTACTAACTTGTTTACGGTAGTAATTCCGTGTTGAAAAAAAAAACTTAGATCCTAATAAAAAGGGAATACAAGCATCATTATCCGTACGATTCGCAGCTTCTTTCTGCTACTTAAGAGGCATTAAAATCGTAATAGGTGATAACACGATTACATCCTCTCTCTGTGTGAGTGTCTGCAGGCAATAACACTTTGAGCAAAGCTTAAATATAATTTGATCATCAATTCCGAGCGAGAAGACGTCGCGAGGCAATTATTAATGCGAATAGATAGATTATTACATCAGAATGGGGGAGGGCATAATAAAGTGCGATTACGTTCTTTCAGTTTATTAATTGTGTGAGTGCGCGCCTACATAAATATATATATATATAAGTACGTGAGACACAGGTAATGGTGGGCATTCTAAAGTAGATCAGGTAACATCGCCGTGACCTTAATAATGTAATTCATTTTAATGCCAGGCGACATTCATCTGCGCTAATCATAAATATATGTCCATCGCGTATCTGCGATTAATCTTGTTTTGTCTAATTGTTTACCGATGAAATGAAATTTATTACATATTTTACGAGAGGAATGCTGCAACCTTCTCTTTAATACGGATTTACAGCGACGCATTGAAACCAAGACTTTACTTTATTAACTTCGCAATGGAAACTAATTACACTTTACTAGTTTATCGAAATTATAGACATAAAGACCATCGCAATTTTAACAACTCCCAATATGATTGGATTTTTGTTCTATACCTGTAATTCTAATCATTATAACAAGAGAATTATTTTATTAAGTACTATTATTAGAGTTATAAAACAATCATTACTAGGTATTAATAGCTGCGCCAGAAATAAATAGCGTAATACGAAAATAGCCGGAAATTATTACGGTATACAATTTCCATTGATTTGTGATATCGATTACGGTGAAATATTTGGAACGGTGTCTATTTCCAACGGCTGAAGGAGAATATAGAAAAATTAAATTCTTGCTTTACATCTCCTCAACTATACTAGACAAATATTGGATTTACTGTAACTTAATATAGACTAAATATTGGGCTAAGATAATGCATGGAGATGATTTACGAGGCAAACCGAGAACATCCAAACAGAAAGAGAGATGAGCTCCAAAAAAAAACGATTTTATCATGCACGAGGTGTAAGTATGGTCGCCTATCAACTTATTGACTTTGGCATATTGACATGGAAAATAATGAATGAATGAATAAATAAATAAATAACAGCAGCACGTTGAAAGTGCACGGAATGATTATCATTATTGATATTAATCCGTTTATCTGAGGATTAGCGCAAAAGCCGAAATTAATGAACAGCGCCCTATCTTCTCATTAAAGTTAACAATAATAAATAAATGGAAGGAAACAAATAAGTGAGAGGAATAAAGAAATCAGTGGCTCAATTGCGCTCAATTGATGATCAGACACGCGAAATTGCATAATTGGACTGTGATTATGCGGAGGAGGATGGGTTCTTCCTCCTTTTCGAGACACGCGTGTGTGTGTACGGAAAACGAAAGGAAAACAGTCCTCCAACACCCACCGTTCTAAAAATATTTTCATCATCGAACTTGAAAGGCCGCTAAAATTATCGCAATTTTTCGGCGTGCTAATATTAAATCATCCTCAAAAAATATTATATTTTCCATAAACACTTCGTCGCTCTCCTCAATGCGTGTGTCTATATAATAATAATGTTTTCTTTATTATTATTATTACCGTTTCTTATTCTCGCCAGATGAAAGACTTCTTTGTGAAACTGAAAGGTTTGCACTTTCTCGTTTATTATCAATTAAAACAAATTGATAATTGAGTGATATGAATTTAATCGAGATCAGCAGAAGACACGGACGAGAGAGTGTCCTTGTTGAATCATTGAGATCTGCTACAACATGTAACATACAAAAAAAAAAACAGAGAGAATGAGAATATAAGAAACAAAACAAATAAATAAACATAAATTAAATGAAACTTTTGTTTGCTCTCGCCTAATTAAACGAAACGCGGATTACGTTTTGAGGAAATTTTCTTGCGATTAATGCTCGACGCGACAAAAATTATACGTGGAATGCTGTAATCCAAATGATAATTAATGTTTTATGTAACGTGTGTGAATGAGCGAGAGTGTGTGGCGTTGCCTCAACATTGAGTAATGAATTTTTGGTATATGATGATGATGATGAAGAGTATAGTTAAGATGCTGTTATTTAACGAATGTTTGCTATTTAAGAACAGAAAGAAATAAAATATAAATATTTACCATGGTGTTTGCATATGTTCGGAAGAATCTTGCAGAAGTTGCGAAGAATCATGTTTTGTCTAAACTAATCTAAATCAAACACTCCGGGGACATGTCAACAGAACATGCTCGCACACTACTTAATTGATAATACTCCTCGACACTGTGTATCATGTTTTCTAGTGGTCGACGAGAGGAAAAACCTACTGCTAAACGTCTTGCAGCCACAGCCGATGATGTGTTATTGTTGTTGTTGTTGTATTATGTACGTCGTTGTTGTTCTTAGGCTCTTTATGTTGTTTCCGGTGTGGTTTCTCTTGAAGGATCTCTGCAACGACGACTCTACCAAAGAAAAATCAAGGGGGTTGAAGCAGCGGTCGTGTGTTCTATAACGTCTATGCAAAGAACATGTGTCAGATTAGAAAGTAAATCATTGCGAGACACACACACACGCACCACTCTCTGACTGACAGTTACAGTGCTGAGCGGAAGAAGACAGAAAGAAAAGTGTATAGTAAAAAAAAAGAACGGGTAGTCGTTGAATCTGTTGCTGCTGCTGCTGCCGAGTAGTTGTTGCAAGTGGTACGGACAAGTCCAAACTGCACTGTGGAAACTTTGATTGACAAATGACAGATCGCCCCCCAAACACTCTCTCGCACACACACACTGCCGCCTGTTTTGCCTCCTACTACTACTACTGCTTCTCTTCCTCCACCTCCTTCCTTCCTCTACTCCTTGGTTGCCAAGTTGTAAGCGGCGCGCACACTGCACACGTTCGGGGAGGTCATGTAGTAGTGAGCTGGAAGGTCTCCTACCTAAACATTTCATCCTGTATTTCTTATGCAAATTCACCTTTTATTCCCTTCTAATCATCATCCTTCGTTCCTAACATGCACACTTAATCTGCTTACAAGATTACACGCAACTGGAACGGTCGAAATGCTGCAGCAGTTCTCCACTTCATCAATTCCCCAAACATCAATTTACTTAATGAACTATGAAAACTGTTTTATTGTTGCAAAATTAATCACAAACTTGCAGATAGTTAACTGAAAGATTTAAACATATTCCAAAAGTTATTAAAGCTTACAATTCCAGATGAAAACTACAGAGAGTTTATTGACAAATTTAAACATATACAAATGATTATTCAAGCTTAAAATAATTGAATTTCATTTGAAACCTGTTTCTTTTATATTTAATGAATCATTAAGTTGCAAATAGTTAATTTAAAGATTTAAACATATTCAAATTGTTCAAGCTTAAAAAGATTGAATTTCAGATGAAAACTATTTCATTACCTTCATTAACTTGCAGATAGTTAATTGAAAGATTTAAACAAAGATTCAATTCAAATATGATTGAATTCCATATGAAAACTATTTCATTATATTTACACGCCTATTCATTAACTTACAGATAGTTTAATGACAAATTTAAACATAAAATAATTGAATTTCATTTGAAACCTGTTTCTTTTATATTTAAAGACATATTCATTAACTTGCAGATAATTAATTCAAAGATTTAAACATATTCAAATTGTTCAAGCTTAAAAAGATTGAATTCCAGATGAAAACTATTTCATTATCTTCATTAACTTGCAGATAGTTAATTGAAAGGTTTAAACAAAGATTCAATTCAAATGTGATTGAATTCCAGATGAAAACTATTTAATTATTTTTACACGCCTATTCATTAACTAACAGATAGTTTATTGACAAATTTAAACATAAAATAATTGAATTTCATTTGAAACCTGTTTCTTTTATATTTAAAGACATATTCTTTAACTTGCAGATTGTTAATTCAAAGATTTAAACATATTCAAATTGTTCAAGCTTAAAAAGATTGAATTCCAGATGAAAACTATTTCATTAACTTGCAGATAGTTAATTGAAAGGTTTAAACAAAGATTCAATTCAAATATGATTGAATTCCAGATGAAAACTATTTAGTTATATTTACACGCCTATTCATTAACTTGCAGATAGTTTATTGACAAATTTAAACAGATACAAATGATTATTCAACCTTAAAATTATTGAATTTCATTTGAAACCTGTTTCTTTTATATTTAAAGACATATTCATTAACTTGCAGATAGTTAATTCAAAGATTTAAACATATTCCAATAGTTATTCAAGCTTAAAAATATTGAATTCCAGATAATAAATCCATTTCATAATCTTCATTAACTTGCAGATAGTTAATTGAAAGGTTTAAACAAAGATTCAATTCAAATATGATTGAATTCCAGATGAAAACTATTTCATTATATTTACACGCCTATTCATTAACTTACAGATAGTTTATTGACAAATTTAAACATAAAATAATTGAATTTCATTTGAAACCTGTTTCTTTTATACTTAAAGACATATTCATTAACTTGCAGATAGTTAATTCAAAGATTTAAACATATTCCAATAGTTATTCAAGCTTAAAAATATTTAATTCCAGATAATAAATCTATTTCATTATCTTCATTAACTTGCAGATAGTTAATTGAAAGATTTAAACAAAGATTCAATTCAAATATGATTGAATTCCAGATGAAAACTATTTAATTATATTTACACGCCTATTCATTAACTAACAGATAGTTTATTGACAAATTTAAACATAAAATAATTGAATTTCATTTGAAACCTGTTTTTTTATATTTAAAGACATATTCATTGACTTGCAGATAGTTAATTGAAAGATTTAAACATATTCAAATTGTTCAAGCT